TTTTTTTTGTTCTATTTATAGAAGATACTTATTGGAAACCAGATGTTGTCGATCAACAAGAAGTTCTTGTCAAGGTCATGGATACCTATGGAAAAGTATTATCATGAGAAAGAAAAAAATATTCATTTGACTTGTTTTTTTTCCTATAGGATGATAAACGATTACCATATTATTTAAAATGGGCTGACGCTGTATTAATTACATATAGTATAATACAACAAGATAGTTTTGAAATGGCACTTGCTTATCTCGATGCAATAAATTCATATTCAAAAAGTTTAACTGTATCTAATAATGAACTTGTTATTATGTTACTTGGAAATAAATTAGATCTTGAACGAACTAGGTAATCAAAATAATTTTCTTTATTTTTTGATAGAAATAAATGTTGCTGGTTTTTCTTATTATTAAGAGTGGTTCCGAAATCTGAAGGTGAATCAATAGCAGCGAAATTTAGTTGTGCTTTTTGTGAAACAACAGCTGCTGATGATTATGAATATGTTCAACAATTATTTCATCGTACTGTACGTGAAGTACGAAAAGAACGTGAACGTGCTGTTGCATCAAATTGTATTGATGAAGAACCATTACCATCAACAACAATTAATATAAATACAAATACAAATATTCCTTCATCAGCATCATCTTCATCATCAACGTCATCAAGTCATTTTTTAGCATTAAATGACACAGATAAAATTTCATCATCAAATATCCCATTACCACCACCCATGCCAGCGACGCTTATACATCAAGCAGCTCGTGCAGCTAAAACTGCTAAACCTGAATATCAAAACTCATCGAATTCAAACAATATAAATTCACCATTTTCACCTACAATTAAATCTGGTTCATTATCATCAATAGCAACAGTAACTGGTTTACCTCCGACATCATCATCTTCAACGGCGAAACGAGCACCATCTAAAACATCTGTATTTTCTAAAATTTTCAAATAATTTATTTAAAACGAAAAAAAATCGATTTAAACTTTTTTTGTTTTTATTTTCACACATAATAAAAATTAAGCGTAATATACATCTTTATATAGACACAGGACGCGAGAACATAACGAATATATATTCTTTTTCCAACCATTTATGTCATGGAATAGGCTATAAATATATGAAGTATATCAATTGAGCATGTTTTTAAAAGTATAGTTTATATTTATTAGTAAAAAATTAAATTTAAGTAGAAAGCATTTCTCCTTGATAGACAACTCCACTATCATCACTGATATAACAATAGTTAAGTTTATCATCATTTAAATGTACATCATAGTGAGTTTTTACTGATAATGTGTTTATATCATCTATCATGGAATTTGTTGGTGTAATCAATAATGATGATGATGCCAATGTTAATAGTTGTCCATCACTAGAATTTCTTGGTGTCTTTGGAAAAAATTTTGGATGTTGATTAGTATGATAGTTTGTTGTTGAACGTTGAAGTTGACGATAAGTTGATGAAGATCTTCCAGTTCGTTTTGTTGCTATAGATATAGTTGGTACTGATAATGTATCCGTTTTTAAAGAATCATCAGAATCATTTGATGTTGACTGAAGCTGTTGTGGAGATAGATTTCGATTTAAGTTTAATGTCATTTTTGATTCAGTACTTTTTAAATGTTTTTCTTCTTCTTCTTGTTTACGACGCATACGTGCTAATGATTGTCTACGTACATAAGTCAAATAATGCCCATATTCCGACGTTGGTCGAGAAAAACTGGACTGTTCTTGTTGTTGTTGTTGTCGTGGAGAAGGATTTAAACTGTTAGTAGGTGCACGAGCTGAAACTGGCCGATGTGATGACATCGGTGAATTCGTAACATATAAATTACGACTATGAGCTGTTGCAGGACGTGCCACTGTTGTTGGATAGTTAAAAGAAGATTTCGATGTACTTGAACTATTTAAACGATTCGAAACTGGCGTACGTGCTTTCGTTTGTGCTGTAGATAGTTCAATTGGAGTATTGGTCACCATATTTGATTTATCTGTAGCCATTTGAATAAGTTTCTTTTCAAAATTGAAAAATGATGATAAAGTAATGACTGGTAATGCAGTACCGGATGGTATTGTATGACTTCGTTGTATATTATTGAATAAATTATTAGATGGTAGTTTCTGTGTTCTTCTCATTACTGTAGAATTCATATCTAGAACTGAAAGGTTCAAAGGTATATCAGTCATTATATTGAAGCTTTACAAACGAGAAAAATATGCTCAATATATATATACATTCAAGAATAATAAGAATACATTTTTCTAGATGTCATGTAGACTGTTTTTGATCGTTTTGTGCTTATGCGTTGTTTAATAAAAGAGATTGAAACAAAAAGAAAAGAAGCTGTCAAAAATCGATATTTATATTTAAAAGACGTTTTTTCTTTCGTTTTTTTCAATCGTCATTTAACCAAAAAAAATAATATTGTTCTTTTTAACAGTAGTCTAATGTATTTCGTTTTTGATTCCTATGACTGCCATGTAGTGCGTTTTTATCGATGCACAGAATGTTGCTTATACGATTTAATGTTTGCATATCTCTTAAAGTTGTTGTCATACTTCAATCTACCATTATTTTCTTATTAACAAATACTTTAGTTCTTAATGACGATGTTTACTGCAAACAATACTGGAAGAAAAAAAATGAATTTTGTTCATTCATCTATATTAATATTTAATACTACAAATATCGAATGAAGTATACTGAAATTCTCTAAAATACATTCAACATAAATCTTATTTTACAATGATCTTTTATTCAAAGGCGTTCAGTTTAAATCTATTGAAAAAGCCCTAAAAATGAATCCTATAGATGTCCTATGTTGACAGTCTCATTCCGCTGAATCATTTATTGATAAAATAATGATTGGTGCAATCGAAAAAATTCTACAGTATGTATTTATTATAAATAAGATAAGATTAGTGAAGTGAATGTCAATTCTACATAAATCATTTTTTTTCCTGAGTAATTGCTAGAAATCAATGAGTCAGTATTAGTCTTGTCCTCTTATGAATATGCTATGACGTGAGTTGATATTATATAAATCTTACTTAAAACAAACTATATTTTAACAATATTTTGACAAGTTTTATGACTGTTCCACCTTTGACAAATGAAAATATGAATTATTGTGTTCTGTTTTTTTTTGTCATCAATGAGAGTACATTTTTATCTATTCTAGATATTGAAAAATGCTCATATACATGATTGACACATTGCATTGCTTGGAGCAAGCTATTCATCACCACCTCTCAGGATCTTTTTCTTTCGATTTTTATCTAAACTGATGCATTTGAAAGCAAAATTGAGCTAAGTCGTTTACTATTTTTGAAATGAATTTATCTATGTGTTAGAAACGTTTACAAATTCCATTAATTAATCTTTTGTATGCATATTTATATATATTGATAATGATGTAAGTCGAACGTGAGTATGAATTAAATACTTGATTTCCAATCGAATATTTACTATTGATTCATAGAACAGAGATAACCGTAATAAATTGAACTTGTTTTGTCTGTAATAATGATCTAGAGTTATAGATACTTGTAACCTTTGCTTTATTGAGTTGATCTTTGATGATGATATTTCCTAAGGTTTGAAGATAAATGATCAAACAATAGCCCTTTTCTATTCAATCGTATTTATAGATACCACGTCTGTAAAGTTTATTTTATTGACTGATCAAGTATAAGGAATTGACTATTATAAACAAGTTAAGAACAGATAGTTAACGCAGGTCTAGTAGAGAACAAGATAAGTGTATTATCAATAGAAACAAACAATAGGTTTTTCATATTGAAAGAACTACATGTCTCAATTCGTCTCATAATAACTGCTTTACCAATTAGCTTTTTTGATTGTAAACCTTCTGAATAAGTCTTGAGAAGGATAGAATTAATTTCGTACTGCTTTACTAAGGGTGTGGGTGTGGGTGTGGGTGTTGTATCCTTCTTCTGTCAACACCCACACCCACGCCCACGCCCACACTCACACCTATACCCTCACCTTCACGCTTTGCTGTCACTCCTTGTATATAAAAGTAAACCCTCCATTCGACTTACTTAGAATACTATAAATTTTAATTAAATTACAACATCGTCTATGTTTTAGATACACTTCATTCGAAATTCTCTTAGTTAAGCGTAAGGGACATTTTTCAATTCCGGACCAATTCTTAGAAGACATTATTTTCAAGGACATTTCTGCCATGATTTTTAGAAATTATAAAAATCATCATTAACATTAATGCATTTCTTCATTTGTCGTTTTCTTAACTATGCTAATTCCCTTTTTCCAGCCATCACATATGAACTTGCACAATAACAAAAAAAAATATGAATTGCTAATTGTTCATCATATTCATAGATATAGTTTGTTCTTCTTGTCATCTGCCAATGATTAACTTATTCTATGTCTAGTTTACTCTCTTTACCATAAAAATGAACTATTCATATTATCTAAAAATTTCCCCTCTCTGTTTATTTTCAGATGCTTGATAAAAAACTATTACTCAGTGTCAGCACTGTTCTTCTATTCACTTTGTACGATCTAAACCGTTCGTATATGAATCAGACGTCAACGAAAACAAATCCGATATCGACATCATCATCATCAGCCTATGATGATATTTCCAATAATCAAGACGAAGATATAACAGTAATTCCACCTCCAAAAATGAAAATGCAAGTAGCAACAACTATTACATTCCGTTATTGTCATACTTGCGGGTATAAATTAAATTAAAAAAAAAATCTTCTTCATATCTTTCATTTTTTTTAAGTTATCAAAATCTGTTCAAACAGTTTTCTGAACTTGTTCGTACACATTATCCAAATATGGCAGTTATTGGAGAAAACTATCCACCACCATCTCTAAGAGCATTTCTTGCTCGAATTTTATCAATGCTTAAAATGGGTTTACTTGTTTGTCTTCTCTTTGGTCAAAATCCATTCGCTCTTCTTAGTATTCCAACACCAAGAATATTTCATTGGGCATTAAACAATAAGATGTATGCATGTTTAATGATATTTTTTCTTTCAAACTCCCTAGAATCATATTTGGTATCAACTGGTGCATTTGAAATAATTGTTGACGATGTTCCACTATGGTCAAAACTCGAAACAGGTCGTTTACCATCATCGAATGAATTTATTCAAATGTTACAACCGTTCAATCCAAATAGAGACGGTAGTGATCAAATACGTTTTAATAGTTGATTCATTGAATATTTGTCTACATACTTGAAAGCTTATTTTCTTGTTTACCGGCTTTGCTTATACTAAATCAAGATGATATTTAGCAATAAAATCTATATTTCTATTTTATTAACAATGCAAATCAAAAGTAATTATATATTAAAGACTTGTCATCTGATTATCAACCAGTATATCAAATGTCAGAGAAACAAAGACGATTGTAATATAAAAAAAGAAAGAATTTCAAGTATGATCTATTTTGTAACGTTGTCTTTTAATGTTGTTATATTTCTTATTGAAATAAAATGTTAGCTGTAGGAAAAATATTTGTTTTTCTTCGAAATTAAAGTATCGGATGTTTAATACAAGACAACGTAATAACTGTATTAGGAAAGGTCAGTTTTTAATGATGTGTCAGTGATAGAGGCCAGCTTTGACATACAGTAAACAGCAGAGAAGTTCTAGAAATCATGGAAGTAATACGTTAATGTTTTGTCTACTTATACTTTACATCTGTTCCTGATTATCTTCTCTTTTCTTTCTTTCGTTGATGTACATAATAGAACTTGTATTATTGATACAAAGCTTCAAATCCAAACTCACGAATAAAAAATTAAAATAAATACGATAGGTCGATTTTATTATTAGAATTTATTTACATTATATATTATTACAGTAAAACTGAAAAAATGTTTATTTTAAATTTCAGTTCGAAAACATTTTCACGAAGAATATTAATTGTAAATAGTCTGTAAAAATCTTGTTTTATTATTTGGTTTGAACTGCACCAACATTAATTGTCGTCGGAGTGGTTTTTTCGGTTAATGGAGAAATTGAAACTCGTCGTGTTATATACTGTTGCCAATATTTCATTATTATTTTGATAAATTCATTTCGAAAAGGTTTTGAAGTTATAAGAAACATATAAAATGACACAACACTTGTAAGATGAACACTAAATTGAGTTAAGAATAAAATAAATGCTTCAATTTCAACTTGCTGAGCATTACTCTGACCAACATATGTTGTTAATGCACTATAAATAAGACCACCTGAATAGATAATCGATGTAGAAATATGTGCTATAATTTCAGCCATAACCATGCGCATAAAATCTCGATCTCTTTGTCTAGCATGCGTCTGCTTAGCATTCCGTTGACGAAGACTACGGACAGTAAGGATACTGAAGATGCTCATTAATGTTAGTGGTAAAATAACAACTGATATAATTTGATAAACTGAATAAATTGTCTTGTATAAACCAAATGTTCCACATACATTACCCCTAATCTCCGTTAAAATAGGCATATGTATGGCGATCAGTAACCATGCTGGACATATAATGAAAACAAGCTTCATTGCAATCTTATTGGAGCTTAATGAACGAATACGTACATTTGTTCGTGTAAGAAAAAATCGATCAGCACAAGCAAACACAACAACACTACGAATACATTGACCAAAAACATGACTGCCATAAGATTTTATTTTACAATACAGTAATGATTGTAGTTGAGCATCAGCATGATCAAGTGTATTGAAGAGTGGAACAAACACCCAAAATAAATAAACAATCGAAAAAATTGAGAGAGAACGAAAATAGATAGAACCCGGCATGTGACGATACAAAGGTCGCATGAACATCATACAATTGCAAATATTACCTATAACACCTAATGCGAAATAGATTGTAATGCCGTATCGAGTTATGACTTGTTGTACAAAACGTAGAATTGTTACAGCCATCATCCACGATCTTGTTTTTCCAAGAGAAAAAATGAAATAAGAGTCAAAAAGATGCAGCAGAAGAAGAATAATATGTATACTTTTAGAAAAGTAAATGATGGTAATCTTTTTAATCTCGGAATATTATATAGCAGCAAATGGCACTCTGAACTAGATTAATCAGTAACAAAGAGGATCATTAGTGGTAGACAATATTTTTAAATTTGATCCTGTGACAAAATTTCACACTTCTGTTATACGGATGTACGTCAGTCAGTTATTTTAATTATGCTTATAGAGATGAAAGAAAGCTAAATAGTTACTAGCATTAAATGAGTATTTGAATATATTTCATGCTGAAAAATGTATTCGTACTTTTATATCATCTTCTTTATTTACATATGTTCTTATGACATGAAATAAAAATAACTATATATGTCAAAAATTATAAATACCTTTTATCACATGTCTCCTATCTATATGTTTTATTCTCGCGGTGCTCGTTGTTTTGATCTTCTTTTGCAAGAAATCAAAAACGGTAGATGTCGCATAAAGACATTTCATTCTTTTGTATTTTCTCATCAATATTCCTTGAAAAGTATCCAATAGTTATTCTCTATAACCGTCTTAAAATTTAATAATCAACAAGACACCTTATCAAAAAAGAAAATAATATATTACTTCCTAGTTAAAGTCTCTCGTTCAATAAAAAATTTCTGTTTATCTATTTTTTTTCAGAAGTATTGATCAGTATGTCCATATCTGCTACTGCATTTCGTTGGCTTGATATACTTGAAGCAGAATTTGATAAAACATTTGTTGATCTCGATTTATTATTGGGTGAAATTGATGAAGATCAAGTAGAAATTACAGGTGATGGACGAGCAAAACTAGGTATACTTAGTTCATGTTTTGCTCAACTTGTTCATAAAACTCAAACAATTTCACAAGCTAATGCTAAATTAGAAGTTTGTATTTTCGCGTAATCTGAATAGTTTTTCAAATGTACATTTTCTATTAAGGCACAATTACTTGATGCACAAGCAGAAATAATTAATATTAAAGCGGATCGACAAGCATTAGAACAACAAAGTAATGATACATTAGCTTTATTACATACATCACAATTAGAATGTCAAATATTAAAAACTAACAGTGAAATTGAAGGTGCAGATGTGATACGTAAACGATTGGTTAGTATGAAGAGTTTTTTTTTTGTTTTATTCTATTGTTTCTTTTTATTTAGGAAGAACAAGTTATGAAACAACGTGAAGAATATAAACAAAGTTTAATATCAGATGTAAAAGCACATGAACTTGAAAAAGAAAAAGAAAAACTTCAAGCACAAATTATTAATTTACAATCAGAAGTCTATGGATCACGCTTAGCAGCTAAATATCTCGATAAAGAATTAGCTGGAAGGTATGTATTTGAAGATAATAACTATTCTTATCAGTTTTATTCATTTCCGTTTATCAAAAGAAATACTTTCTCTCTCCAGAAAAAAAATCTATTTCCTTTATTATATATCCGATAATATTATTGTATAATAACTCGAGGACAACAGGAAACGACATATGTTAAAAACAAGATTATTAAAAGTATTTTTGTTTCTTTCGAATAGAATTCAACAAATTCAATTACTTGGTCGTGATTTACGTGGACCAAATCATGAAAATGTCTGGAATCAACTTGAAGCTGAAATTCATTTACATCGTCATAAAACAGTTATTCGTGCATGTCGTGGTCGTGAAAAAGTGAATAAAATTTTAACAATGCCACCCGGACATGTAATATTAAACTTATCATATCTTTAGAATTCAAATTTTATTTCAAATAGGATGTAAAAAAACGTCAAGGTGTAGGTGAATTACGTACAATTAAATTTCATAAGGATGCTAAAGAAGCATTAGGTATATCGATAACGGGTGGAAAAGAACATGGTTTACCTATTCTTATATCAGAAATTCATGAAAATGGATTAGCATGGCGGTGTGGACAACTTTATGTTGGAGATTCAATATTAAGTGTTAATAAATATGATTTACGAGATAAAAAACATGCGGAAGCTGTTCAAGTTCTGTCATCTATCGTATGTATATATATTCAAAATAATTTATAAATTAATATATCTTTTTTATAGAAAGGTGATATTACAATGACAGTTATTTTTGTTGCACCGGATGATAGTGATAATGAAGAGTTATCAAATTGTGAAGAAGAAAATCATTTAAAATATAAATTTGTTACTGATGAAGTTGACTTTAAGTCAAAAGAAAAAGATATGAATTCAATTAAAGATTTAACTATATCAAATGGTAATAAAGGAAAATCTGTATTGGAAAAAATAGATGGAACAAATTATTAATTTTTTTCTTGAAATATTCCGTCCGTAATTGATAGATATGAGAATAATTATTTGACAATAAATGGGAGAATTTTGAATCTCAATTAACCGGTAGAAATTCGACAATGTGTGTGTGTGTGATGATTTTTCTTTTTACAATGAACAAATTATTCTTAATGTTGTTTTTTTTTAAATAAATCTAAATATTATGTAAATAAATTTTCTGTTGGTGATTGTATATACATATGCATATGATATTTTGTTTGGAAAGATGTTTTTCAATCGATGATTTTAGCTTTAGGCTATAGAATATGACAGCTGTGATTATTGCAATGTGATTAGAAAAATATAGTCGATAAAGGAAGATATGTCTATGCATGTATAGACATATGGTAAATATGCAGAAAGAGAGAATAATATGAGTTTTACATTAATGTGTTTGATCATGACTTTTGTTGGAGGGATATTATACAATAAATATGGAAAAATCTTTTCCGGACAATCGAGTGATCGCTCGATTTACACTGCGTCATCAATAAAGTCAAATTATTCATATAAATCTATTTTTCTTATACATTGATATATTTAAGCAAAAGAAAAAGTATAAACAAATGACTCAACTAATTATATTCGTAATAGAAGTATTGTTTCAATAACAATAAGCATTATTATTTCAATTTATAATTAATAATTACATACGTACGGATGTGTCGAAAATAGGGGAAGGCATGTGGTAGAGATGGGTCATATGGTTACAATTATTTAGGTAAAATCTAAAAGTAAAAGAGGCATTACGCACAAGTCGCTTCTTCTTCTAGTCACGCCCCTATTAACAATGCACAGGTAAGTTGTATTGGATTACACGTTTCTTTTCTTCTTTTTTTATTCACGTCAGAATACCTTTGATTCAGATTAGTTATTAATTCCCAAGTATCGTTGATTTGTTTTTTTGCCTATCAATTTCTTCGATGCATCTATTGCTTTGATATAACTGATCAACAAAAATAGAATAAGAGAACAGGCATGTTTATGTATTCGACTCATATATATATATATTTTTCCTTTGCATCTACCGAGTTTTTTCTTCTAATCTAGAAAATGACTGATGAGAACGATCATCGACATAAAACAAAAGAGCATTAGCGGGTAGCCTTTGGAAAGAGACTATACCAACTGGTATTTGGAAGGCTCTTCAACGTGTCTTATTACATTCTATAATCCGATAAGAATGTGTTCGCCGACGCTCGAAATCATCATCATCACTATACACTAAACTTATTCTTCCTTCGCTTTTTATCTCAATCTCGATTCTTTTCCTTATTATTATCATATCATAATAATCATTTGTCGAAAACCTCTTTACATATGCTTATGTCAATTTTTATTAGCGAATAAATTGATCAAATCATATTATTGGTACACGTAAGAATTTATCATTTTTTTTCTTCATATGAATATATATATATACCTGTACTTGTATTAATTCTGATATAAAAATATGCTCGAAGAAATAAATGTCAATGTTATTATCGTCAGTGTCAATTGTTAACAACACATGGTTAGATATAGCACAGCAGGAGATTCCGTCTATTTCTCTATAAAGATGAAGATATTACAACTGTTGAAAGATAGCAAAGACAGACACATAATTATATTTTGATGCAAAAATAAGGATAGTTTGACTTTGAATTTATTTATATGTAAGCATATACTATTTTTTTTTCTCATCAATTCTATATGAGTCAGAGAAAGAATTCAAATCATGTCATAGAAGATAAAAAAAAGAAAAAGTTTTTTTTTGTTTCATACATTATTGTACTTGTATTCATGTTTTGTTATTTTGTATTAAACAGATTAGATTAGTATAGTTTATACCAGAAAGACATACTCACAATAACATATATAAGAGAAAAAGAGTAAGAAAGAAGAAAAGATAAAATAAATAGATATGTTATGAATGATATCATCAATATGAGAACAAAATAATATCAATAAATAAATTACACATCGCATACAGATATACATATATTTATACATATATTTATATAGACATAACAGTTCTTTCTTATTATTAATACCAAATAAAACCGTATGCGAGAAGGTCAGTTGTCTATCATTGTACATTCTTATGTTTATTATTAGGTTTTTTTCTTGTAATATTTTATTAAATTTAAAAAAGAATGTTAATCTTTAATTTTAGACTATAGGTAAATTAATTACTATGGACAATTCAAGACAACATGTTCTACGTCAATCAAATGAAATCATTCAAGCAAAAAGAAAAACATCATTAAAAAAGACTCAAAGAAAAGAACCATTACGTCGTATATGGTCTCGAGGTTTGCCATCATTAGCAACAAATACAGTTAAAATGGTTGTTGCAACATTACATATTGGTTCAAAGATGAATGGACATTTATCGGATGAAGAACAAGACAATGAAGAAGAAGATGATAATGATGATGATGATGAAATATTTCACATTGGACAACATGTACAAGCACACATTCCAGATATAGTTTTAAATAAATTAAATGATTTAATTGATCAAAAAGGAAATATATTAATTCCAAATGAACATATGTATAATAATGCAACATTATTATTTCTTGATGTATCAGGTTTTACATCATTAACTGAACAATATTCAAATGATGCACATTTAGGTATTGATCAATTAACACATACATTAAATTCATATTTTGATAAACTTGTTTCGGAAATTTTAATAAATAATGGTGATATTTATAAATTTGCTGGTGATGCTATACTTGCATTATGGACAAATGAATTAAATGGACCTGAACAAGCATTAAAATGTGCATTATATTTACAAGAAAAATGTGGAGCATATGAAACTGATGTTGATGTCGTATTACGTCTTAAAATAGCGTTAGCATATGGTTCTGTACATGCATTATTTATAGGTACAGATGAATTTAAACATTATATATTAACAGGTGATTGTGTGAAAGATGTTAATCAATGTGAACAATTATGTGAACCAGGTGATATTATTATAACGAAAGCAGTTTATGAACAAGTACAAAATTTATTATTAAATTGTGAATATGCACCGATTAACGATGAAGTAGATAGAAAAGATCAATATATTGCTGTAAAATATTTAGACTCCGAAGATAATGATCTAAATATAATCAAAAATAATGATAGAATGGTAAGTAAATATATATTTGTTCCGGAAGAGCGAACATATACGTCGTACATTGATTAAATAATATACGGATTGATTATGGAAGTATGAAGCGTAAGAAAAAAAAATAAGTGAATGATTCAGCGAAAGATACTGATGAATAAGTGTACCTAGTAAAATAGAACATAAAATTAATAATTTTTAGGTACTTTCTGTAGAATAAATTAATAAAATCTTTTTTTTCCCATATTAATAGAATAGTTCAAATCCAGACATATCTATGAATGAACCTGATAATAATTCTAATTCTCAATTATCTTCTTTAATAAATGATTCAATTAATGAAGAACTTAATAACAAAACTGATAATTTAATGAAATCTTTTTTACTTGGTTGTGTTTATCAACGTATTGAACGTAAACAATCTTTAGATTATCTATCTGAATTGCGACGTGTTACAATAACATTTATTAATCTTGATGTGTCCGATGAACATTATACAAACAATAATTTATATCATAATGTACAAAAAGTTTTCATACAAATCTATGAATTAACAAAAATGATGGGTGGTGTATTAACAAAAGCATTATTATTTGATAAGGGATGGTCATTTTTATGTGTTTTTGGTTTACCTGGTTATAAACAAGGTGATGATACAGCAAATGCACTTAAATGTGCTTATATGATACATACAACAATTCATAAACAATGTCAATTTATAGATAAATGTTCAATAGGTGTAAGTTTATCGAAAAATTAAGTAAAACATAATATAAATGAAAACATTTTTCAACTATTTACGTTAGGTTAGGTGACAACTGGTTTAACATATTGTGGTGTTGTTGGACATGTTGCACGTTGTGAATATACAGTTATTGGTCGAAAAGTAAATATGGCTGCACGTTTAATGTGTAATTATCCAAATATCATATCATGTGATCAAGAAACATATTATAATTCACGTTTAAATAGTCGTTTTTTTCAAATATTACCTGATAAAATATTAAAAGTAAAGAAAAAAATATTATATAAAAAAATAAAATTTTAATTAATATTTAAGGGTATGCATAATGTTGGAATTATTTGGCAATATGGAGATCATCAAAATAATATACAAATAGAAAATAATCAAGATCAAAAGAAAATAATTGATATACAAAATAATAATTATCCATTATTAGGACGAAAAGTTGAATTAATGATCGTTACTGCACAAATTATGTTATTAGATGAACCATTACATAGACGAAGAGATCTTGCAGCTATTATTTTTGAAGGTTAGTAAATTATTGAAAATTTTAATTAATTTCATTGATAAATTTCATTGTAGGTGATGATAAAATTGGTCGAAGTCGTTTATTACAATTTATAGCGGAATCATTAGAAAATTCATATCATGAAAGTAATTGCACAGGTGTTTCCTCTTATGATAATACCTACATTCCTTATGACTCAACAATTCCTAATAATATACCGAATGAAAATACAAAAACTCGTTTATCATCTTTAAATATCTATGGTAATGATTGTTCAACAATAAAAAAACCAACAATACGTATTATTAAATATTCTTGTCAATTAGAACAACGTTTTAATGAATTTAGTTTATTACGTTCATTACTTAGACAATTATTACAATTTCATCATGATGATAAAACACAATATGAACGTGAACAATATTTATTACGTTTATTTGATATAAATAAATCGAATGATGCATATTTAAGACGAAATTTATTTTTATTGAATGATTTACTTGATGTTAGATTTCGTCGAAGTCATATTGAAACAGAAAATACAAATGAAAAAAATTTTGTTCGAACATATGAAACAAATATTAATGAATTATTATTACATATTTTACATCAACTTATTGATCCACCAGGAAGTATGGGTGATATGTATGGAAATACATTAAGGTATATACTAAAATATAGATTATTCCATTCTACTAATCAGGGTCCGGCGGGACTGTGCCGACGGGATCGGGACTGCGGAATCCCGAGTAAATACATTTATGGGTTTTAAGTCTAGATGAATTGTATGCACAGAAAATGATAACAGCATCGAAAATCCTGAAAAAATATTTTGCCGAGACTGGAATCGGGACAGGTTTCTGTCAAGTCAGAGACGATCGGGATAGGGACCTGCGGAGTCAACTGTTTTTGACTCCGACTCCGAAAAGCTCCGAATAACTCCGAAATTTTGTTGACAAAAAGCGACTTCTAGAGTCAACTTTTTTGAACCCGAAATCGGACTCCGACGGAGTCAGAGTACTCCGCAGCTCCCTAGATCGGGATGAAAAAAACCCGATCTCGCTGGACCGTACTATTGATATTTAATGTAAAATAACGATATTTTTACATTAGATGAAATGAAATCAGAATGGTGTATGATACTGTTTTTAATAAACGCATTATATCTATTTTTAGTTCAGCGTATTCTCAACCGAGACGTTCATCAACTTCAATAACAGCTTTACCGATGGCTTCAATCACAACAGCATCAAAAATTCTATTTATTATTGATGATATTCATTTTGCTGATGAAAGTTCTCTTAAACATTTACTTACATTAGGTAGTCATAATAAATGTTTATTAATTCTATCGATGAAACCACCAAGAAATAATAATAATGATCGACCAGTTTCAAATATCATACAATCAATTAGTACAGATTCACGTGTTTATCTTCGAAGATTACCAGGACTTGAATTACGTTATCTTGCTACACTTGGTAAAATTAATATTTTATTTATGATTTATCAAATTTATTTATTTATTTGTAGGATGTCAGATATTATCTGTACATAAACTTCCAGCAAAACTTGTCAAAGTACTGAATGAAAGTTGTAATGGTAGGAAATCAACGCTCTTGAGGAAATAATATCGACTCGTTTTTAATTTTAGGTATTCCAGGATTTTGCGAACAAATTCTTTTTGATCTTTTACGAAAAGATAAAATCTTTATTGTAAATACAACTGATATATATGATCAAGATTCAAATTTAATTGAAGGTGATGCTGATAAATTACTTGTTAATTCTCCTATAAAAACTAGTTTATTAAAATCATTATTTTCTCGTCATAAACAAATTCTAAATGATAATCAACGTCAAACTGAACCTGTTTTTTCTCGTATATGTCTTTTACGTGATCCATCATCGAATGATTTTGTTTCTCATTGTCAACAAAATTTTCAAAATTATATTATGTGTCGAATTGATCGTTTATCTGATAGTGAAAGTTTACTTTGTAAAATAGCTGCTGTTATTGGTAATACATTTTCTCGAACATTTCTATGGCAATTAGTTGATTCACAATCAAAAAAATTAATTAATATTAATTCATGTATATTAGATATGATGCAACGAACGATTATTGAATGTGCATATCAACAACAACAACAACAAAATCAAAGAAAACATTCAATAAAATGTTTTTGTTTACATAATCCAGCTGGTTTTCCATCACAATGTCGTCTAATTGCATTTGCACATGTATCAATACGTGAAGGAATATATAATTCATTAACAGATAGTTTAAAACGTACTTTAACACGTAATGCTATTGATTATTTAGAAAAACAATGTACAATTGTTTGTTCAACATGTGCACCAAGAAATGATATACCATTTGTTGTACAAAAACAAGATGGTCTTACGCGAATTATTAAAACTAGTCAACAACGTGGATTTGTTGATATTGTTAAAATAGCTGCTCTAAGAGAAATTGATAATACAATAAAACAAGCAATGAGATTACGTTCAATGAGTTCACCAATAAAACCAAGATCGAATACGTCCACAAATTTTCCACCAGAACCAAGTATTACCCTAACTGGAAATTTAGATCGAAATGAGAATAAAAGGTAATAAAATAAATTTAATGTATCTAAAAGATTAATAATATTATCCTTGACCTTAACATTCTTCATCTCAGTAAACAATAAACTAATCAATACGTCATGTATTGTTAATCAATCATTAAGATTGAGCTTTGAAGCGAGACACTTGATCTAGTTACAACCTTGAGAGACTAATCTCTTATTCATAGAATATAATCAACTGTGACATAAGAAATCATTCCAGTGATAAATTGAACTATAATTATATATTTTATCTTGATTAAATATGAATAACTTGCAACAAAAAAAACTCATCAGTTTTTTTTAATGAATTCTTTTTATATTTGTAAATTAGTTCAAACAAAATTCGAGAGAAACGTCGTAATAGTTTCGATATTGGTAAACTTGATTCACGACGAACACGACGTTCTCAATCGCCAGTTCCTCCTACACGTACGAATGAAAATGATGTCGAAATTAAAATGGATCAATCAACAACTTGTAATTCTAGTGATCAAAATTTAACTTTAATTAGTGTTTATCCATATGAAAACAATGATTCGGAAGTAATATCATCACCATTATTAACACCACCAAAATCAAAACATTTTTTTGCTCTATTAAAATTACCTAAACAACGTTATCGAAATTCATCTATATCAAATAATCGATTATTTAGAAATTTTGATGGATTAGTACCAACACCAAATAAATTAAATAAAAAAGAAGCCATTACTAAACCAAAACGCAAAAGAAAAAATGATAAATCAAGTCGTTTTAGATCGTTTTTTCGATATATCTTCTGTCAATTAGTACCATTACATTCAAACGCATCCGCAATTATCGATGCTAATCGTCAATCTACAAAAGATTCAAATGACAATATTATTCTATCTGATAATAAAATAATTTCAAAACCAAATGGTATCTTACAGGTAAATAATTAGCAAAAATTAGGATTTTAAAATTGATGAAAATTTCAGTTTGTCTATCAAATAAGATGTGTTAACTGACTTTTACATAAAATCCAGAGTATTGTGACGAAGTTTAGGTGATGATATCGATCTGAATACACAGTAATTTAGTAAACCCCTCTCCTTAATAAAAGGGCCGGGGTCTTCTATTATGCTTCCGCAACTTGTACTTTTTTCGTGAAAATATCGCCCTACCCCCCTAGGACATTTTTTTGCTGCACCGGAGGGCCTCCTGTTATTGAGGGGTTGCAATCCTGAAGATAATAACAAAACTTTCTTTCCTATTTTATACTGTTTTTTTATTATTCATTTTAATTTTAAGGAATCTAAACTCTTACGTAAACAATCTTCACATTGGCAAACAGTTCGTCAAGTATTAATACCATCACCCAATAAAGTTCTTCGTGCTTGTCCAAATGATCATGAATTACTTGAACAACCAATGTTTTCATCTGAATTAATGCAAAGTGTTTCAAATGATCTTAATTGTTTAAATAAACAAACTTATCTTACACAAACATTTCAAAATCTTTATGAACAATCACTTTCATTTCATACATTTCAATCTTATGTTCAATATAAAAATTTAATACAATTTGTTTATGAGACTAAACTAGAAGAAGAACATGAATTACCAAATTCAACTAAATTTTTAAATGAATTTGTAATTTATAATGATTTACGTGTATGTCAATGTGCTGATTATGTTTTAACTGTTTATATAAAATTAGTTGAATATCATACAAATCTTTATGATATGCATGAAAAATTAGTTGATGATAAACGTGATTATTTACGT